ACACACACACACTCGCCCCAGACCCCAGGGCTCCTCTGCGGACCGTTCCGGAGGTGAAATCCAGAAAAGGGTTGTCAGGCCGGTCAGCGTCAGTCAGCCCTTGGTGGTACCATGGGGGGACAGGTAGGGGGACCAGCTAGGTGCCCGCTGAGGCCCATCCACTGGCCCTCCGGCCCCCAGGTCTGTGTGGGAACTTCAACCAGAACCAGGCTGATGACTTCCAGACCCTCAGCGGCGTGGTGGAGGGCACTGGCGTCGCCTTTGCCAACACCTGGAAGACCCAGGCCGCCTGCCCTAATGTCAAGAACAGCTTTGAGGACCCCTGCTCCCTCAGCGTGGAGAAAGGTACCCCGCCAGGGGCGGGGCAGGAGGGCCTGGGGGCAGGGGCGTGGGCCTCAGCACAGCAGGGAGGCTGGGGGTGCAGGGCGAGGGCAGAGCATCTCCCCCTGCCTGTCCGCCCCCTCCCCGCCTCACCTCCAGAGCACACCTTCCAATCCACATTCAGGACAAGGGACCCCATCAGGGTGGGGTGGGAGCTGCATTTGAAAAGTGGGGGCTTGTGGTGGGGCAGGGGCAGGGTTTCCAGATTATGCATGGAGGATAACTTCTCCCCCCTACCCCAACTCAGAAAAGTACGCCCAGCACTGGTGCGCCCTGCTGACCGACCCTACTGGCGCCTTCAGCCCCTGCCACTCCAGCGTCAACCCTGGGGCTTTCCACACGGTGAGCCCCCAGCACGGGGCGAGGGGGGCTGCTAACATGCCCCTCCCTCGCGCTGCACAGCTTCCCATGGGATTTCTCTTGAGAACCCCTTCTCATCCCTCATCAATGGGCCCCCAGTGCTCTATGCCCACTCACTGGTACCCGGAAGCCTGCCAGCCACAGGCCCTGGCCAGAGGCCCCACCCCGAAGCCCCGCCCCCTCCCTCCCAGGACCTGGCCAGGCCCCCTGGCCCTTGTGGGGAGGCAGGAGCCTGGCCAGGGCGAGGGGAGGACATCACCTGGGCTGGGGTCACCAGCAGCGTCCTGAGTTCCTTCACCCCCCCACCCCCGCAGAACTGCATGTTCGACACGTGCAACTGCGAGAAGAGCGAGGACTGCCTGTGTTCTGCGCTCTCCAGCTACGTGCGCGCATGCGCCGCCAAGGGGGTCCTTCTGAGCGGCTGGAGGGAAAGTGTCTGCGGTGAGTGTGCGCCTGCGCATCCAGCCCCCGTCTGTCCTGACGGTGTCCAGTACCCACCCAGCGCCCCATCCCGGTCATTGCGCATGTGGCCCTGAGGGGTTCGGGCACCCGCCCCCTCTGCGCCCAGTCCGGAGCTGTCCCCAAGGCACGCGGGTATATACTCCACGTGCTCCACCCTCGCCAGGCCACCAAGTTGCCCTGGGACTCTGGTTTCAGCTCCACGCATCCCATGAGGGGTCCCATGCCAGCCCCTGAGGGGTTCCGGCACTGCCCGGTGGGCCCTGCTAGTCCCCCACCAGTCTCCCAGGGGGCTCAGGCACCGAGAGACCAGCTCCAGATGCCCAGCCCTCGCACCAGGGTTCTGATCCCTCAGAGCAGCAGAGAGGTGGACACCTGGGGCCTCCTTCCCTGTGGCAGAAGGAGCCACAGGCTGGGGCCTTGTGGGGACCACCCAACTACCCAGGGTTCCCTCTTCCTGGGGTCTCTGCATCCGCCCTAAGTCTCTGACCCATCTCAGCACGTTGACCAGGAGGGCAGGTGGAGGCACCCAGGCCAGGTCCCTCTGGTGGGGGGCAGTGCCTGTCTTGTCCTCAGCCAAGACCTCTGAGCCTGTACACCCTGACCCTCACAGGAGGCTGGCATAGGAATCGTTATTCTCAGAGGGATACCCTGAGGAGGTGTAATGACAATTGGGAGGTCACAGCCCGGGCTGCAGCTGGACCCCCACCCTGACCTCTCTGCACCTCTCTGATCCAGCCAAATATATGAGCAACTGCCCCAAGTCCCAGAGCTACACGTACGTGGTGGACACCTGCCAGCTCACCTGCCGCTCCCTCAACGAGGCTGATGTCACCTGCGGCATCTCCTTTGTGCCCGTGGATGGCTGCACCTGCCCTGTGGGCACCTACCTGGACGACACGGGCAACTGTGTGCCCTCCTGGGAGTGCCCCTGTTACCTGCACGGCACCGCGGTGGCCCCTGGAGAAGTGGTGCATGAAAATGGCGTGATGTGGTAAGAGACATCCCCAGAGGGAGCAGAAGAGGGGTCGGGGTGGCCACTCTCCTCCTCCTCCAGGTCCTGCCCTGAAGTCCTGGCCCACGTCACTAGCCACATAGCTCAGCCACCCATGTCCCCGAGAGGCTGGCAAGAGCCCGGGAGGGCTGCTCCAGATACGCCCCCACCTCCGCAGCTCCCTGGGTTTCATTTCAGCTCCTTGGGGTGCAGGGCTGTGGGGAGGTCTTCCTAGAGGGCGGCGGGTCAGAGGAGGTGTGGTAGACAGCAGAACCCCTGCTCTGAGTCAGAGTGTCCCAAACCACACGGCCCGGCCTCCTGCTACCAGGATCCTCCCCCCCCCCACTGTCTGAGCACCCACCAGCATCCTCAGGTGGGCCTCACCCCGGCCCCCTCCGGGCCCCCCACCTTCTAGGTCATTGTGATACCTCTCCTCCCTAGTAGCCCTCCTCCAGGGCCAGTGGGGGCCGCATGCCTGCTCCTCACCTTGAGGGGTTCTTTCAGGATCACCCTTGGGGTGGGGGCACAAGGTCACCCAAAGTGATGTGCCCCTTACCCCACCCTGAGCCCATCTGTAGAGAGGGGACACCTTGTCCTGCTCTGGGGTGCTCTGGGGTTCGAGGTCCACGGGGGCAGAGGAGAGGCAGGTCCACAGGGCCTTCCCAGCTCCTGAGGTCAAACTGCAGCCCAGGAGGGGTGGTTGCCGAAGACCCTTCCCCGTGGCCTGCCCCCCTGCATGGCCCTGGGTGCTAGGTCTTGGCACTCACCTCAGAGGCAGGCTCTACCCTCTGGGCACTGCCGAGGCCCAGGGAGCCTGGGGGGAGTGGGTGGAGGAGCGGGGTTCCCATCAGCAACCATCTATCCACCTCTCACAGCTCATGCTCCAATGGGAAGCTAAACTGCCTGGGGACCCCGCTGCCGAGCAGTACAGGTAACACTCGGACTCCAACCCCACCCTGCTGAGCCCGGCAGTGCCCTGGCCGGTCCCCCACCCTGTACTGCTGCTCGCAGAGAGAAGGGAGGGCCTTCCCCTGCCCAGCGGCGGGTGCTGGTGGCCAGATAGGGCTGGGTGTGTCGGGAGGTAGACCCTCTGAGGTGTGGTCGTCAGTGGTGAGGTGCCCAGGGCCCCCTCCCAGCCTGCTCTCCCCACCCAGGGTGCATGGCTCCCATGTTGTACCTGGACTGCAGCAAAGTCCCTGCCGGGACCATCGGGGCCGAGTGCCTCCGGAGCTGCCGCAGTCTCGACCTGGACTGTGTGAGTGTCCTGGGTGAGGGGACAGCCACCTGCCACCCTGCCTGCTCCACTCATCCCTAGCCCCCTGGGCTTGCTGACAGACGGGGGTCCACCCCTGCATGCCCTACTCTCTGCCCCGCCCCCCCACTGCCCTTGGAGTCATGCAGTGGGTCCACATTGGACTTGGGTTGCAAATGGCTCCTGGTTCCCACCATGGTGGGACAGGGAGCTGGCTGGTTTCCCGCAGCCTGTCCGTTCCTTCTGACAGTGCCCCCCTGTCCCCACAGTACAGCACGCGCTGTGTCTCTGGCTGTGTCTGCCCCCCGGGGCTGGTGTCAGACGGCAGGATGGGCTGCATTGCCCCGGAGGACTGCCCCTGCACGCACAATGAGGCCATCTATCAGCCGGGGGACTCTGTCAGGGTCAACTGCAACACCTGGTGCGCTGGGATTCCGCCCCCCAGCCCCGGAGCGGGGTGGGGGGCACACAGGGGAGGGGCCACAGCCAGCTGAGGGAGGCAGGAGGCGGGAGAGGGGCTAAGGCAGTGGTGACCCAGTACCCTCTGGTACTCACCTCTGGTGGGAGCAGGGTGCTGGGGGTGGGGTGGGCATGGCTCCCTCAGTGGGCCATTGCCCCTGACCCAGCAGCAAACTGGGAGGGGTGTCACCTTGGTCTCCCCTGGGGGTGATGGGGTGAAATTGAGGCTGAGGCTCCACCCCTGAGGGGGGACCAGCCAGGCAGTGGCCAGGATACGAGTATTGACTCTCAGGCCCTGGTGGTGAGCAGGGTGCCCTCCATCCCACCCCCATAGCACGTGCCGGAAGGGAAGGTGGGTGTGCACCACCCAGCCCTGCCTGGGCACCTGCGTGGCCTACGGAGACGGACACTTCGTCACCTTTGACGGCGAGCGCTACAGCTTTGAAGGCACCTGCGAGTACACCCTGGCTCAGGTGCGCCCGGTCACCTGCCCCAAGGCCGTCCTCAGCCCACCCAGCCCGCCAGCCGCTGGCTAGCTCACTCCTTCCCCTTCCAGGACTACTGTGGGGACAGCGCCGCCACCACGGGGACCTTCCGGATTGTCACAGAGAACATCCCCTGTGGGACCACTGGGGTCACTTGCTCCAAGGCCATCAAGATCTTCCTAGGGGTGAGAGGTGGCCGTCGGGCCTGGTCCCTGCTCGGTGCCGAGGAAGCCCTGGGGGAGCAGCCGGCCTTCAGGCTTGGCGGCTTCGGCCTCTTCCTGCCTGCCCTCCATGGCTGCTGGGCTGCGGAAACTCACTGCCCTGGGCTAGGGGCCCCTTGCCCACTGCCCTGGGCTTCAGGCCTGAACCTGGCTGTCAGCAGGACCGTGGTGCCCAGTGGCTCCAGGGAAGGGTCCCTTCTCATCCTTTCCAGCTTCAGGTACAGCTGCCTCTGTCTCCACACGGCGTCCCCACTCCTCTCTCTCTCTCTCCTTCTCTCTCCTCTCCTCTCTCCTGTCCCTCTCTCCTCTCTCTCCTCCTCCCTGCCTCTCCTCTGGGTGTCTCTCATGAGGTCACCTGTCGCTGAGCAGAGGGCCAGCCCTCACCTCACCACCACACTCACACTTCTCCAGAAAGAATCACAGCCTTACCTCCTGACACTAGATATGGGTGGGCCTATGGGTGGGTGGGTGGGGGCATTCAGGTCACTGCACTGGGGAGAGCCCATTTCCAGAGAGGGGAGGCACAGGGAAGAGAGCATGCTGGTGCCCAGCGGAGGTGGAGGTGGGGGCTGAGTGGGCATAGCCCAGGGGAGTGGAAGCCCACAGGTTGAGCCCACTGTGGACATGGAAGCTGTTTACTCGGCCCAGGGCCCCCCACCCACCCAACCCTCTGTTGCCATCCTCCCGCTGGGGCGTCTAGCTGGGGCTGGCCCTCTCAGGCCAGCTCTGTCTCCGGGCCACACTCAGCTCCCTGAAGCCCTCACTCCCTCCACAGAGCCAGGAGCTGGTCCTCTCCAAGGGGCACCTGCAGGTGGTGGACAGGGGTACCAGTGGAAACCTGCCTTACAAGGTGCGCCACATGGGCCTCTACCTGGTCATTGAGGTCCGAAACAAACTGTTGGTCTCCTGGGACCGGAAGACTAGCATCTTCATCAAGCTGCACCCGGACTACAAGGTAGAGCCTGGTGACACTGGTTGGTCATCTGTGGGGAAAGCCGGGTTGTGAAGGGGCAGGGCAGAGACTGTACCAGCAGGCAAGCGCCTTGGGGGCCTTTCCTGTGGTAAGGTAGTCGGCCAGTTAGGTGCAGTCACGCCTGCTGCGCTGAGAGCTTTGATGGAGCACACCTGCTCTTCTACTCACCTGCCAACCTATCCCCTTACCTGCCCACCTGCTCACCTGCCCACCTGCTCATCTACTCATTTGCCCACCTGACCTCCACCTACCTACCTGCTCATCTACTCACCTGCCTACCTGTCCCCTCACCTGCCCACCTACCCACCTACTCACCTGTCCATTGCCCCACCTGCTTATCTACTCGTCTGCCCACCTGTCCCCTCACCTGCCCACCTGTCCCCTCACCTGCCCACCTACCTCCCCCACCTGTCCACCTTACCCACCTACTCACCTGCCCACCTGCCCCCAATCTGCCACCTGTCCCCCCACCTGCCCACCTGCTCATCTACTCACCTATCCACCTGCCCTCCCTGCCCACCTACTCACCGGCCCACTTTCCCCCATCTGCCCACTTGCCCCCCCCATCTGCCCCCCACCTGCCTACCTGTTCGCCTGCTTACTTGTCCACCTGCATAGCTGTTCACCTGCCCACTAATTCACTGTGCACTTTGTCCTCCTGCATGCCCCTGGGGAGCTACTGGAAGGCACTGGGAGACCTGCAGCCACCCTGGGCCAGGTTCTGTGCTGCGTCCCCAGTTGGCTACCTGTGCACACTCTACCTCCCCTCACCTGCCCACAGGGAAAGGTGTGCGGGCTCTGTGGCAACTTCGACGGGAACGCCATCAACGACTTCACCACAAGGAGCCAGTCTGTGGTGGGCGACGTGCTGGAGTTCGGCAACAGCTGGAAGTTCTCACCGACCTGCCCGGATGCCCTGGCCCCCCGGGACCCCTGTATTGCCAACCCGTACCGCAAGGCCTGGGCCCAGAAGCAGTGCAGCATCCTCCACAGTGCCACCTTCGCTGCCTGCCATGCCCACGTACGGATGCCGGGTGGGGGGCTGGGGAGGAGAGGAGAGGAAGGGATGGCTGTCAGGGTAGGGGTCCAGGCGGCCAGGGGCAACTGAAACCGGGGGTCAGTGTGGAACAGCTTCAGGGAAGCCCATGGACCAGGTACACAGGTTTGGGCAGAACCCTCCCTGCCTGCCACTGGGTCAAGACTGTGGGCACGGGTGGCATCTGAGGTGGGCTGAAGCGGGAGAAGCCCCCCTTTCTGATGAATGAGAGCAGCACAGCGCTGGGTGGGGAAGGGTCTGGGGTCCAGTGCTCAGCATGGGAGCCCGGGCCTTGTTCATTTGGGGGCCCGTGGCTTGTCCCTGAGACCCTGACCTCAAAGAGGACAGGAGCTGGCCCTGACTGCCCCTCCAGAATCTGAACCCCCCCTCCCCTGCAGGTGGAGCCCACCAAGTACTACGAGGCCTGCGTGAGCGACGCGTGCGCCTGCGACTCGGGTGGCGACTGCGAGTGCTTCTGCACGGCCGTGGCCGCCTACGCGCAGGCCTGCCACGACGCGGGCGTGTGCGTGTCCTGGCGCAGCCCTGATGTCTGCCGTGAGTGAGGCTCTGTCCGCGGTGCTGAGCGGGGCGGAGAGCGGGAGGGCGGGACCGCAGGAGCCCCAGGGCCAGATGGGGCCGCAGAAGGGTACAGACCTGGAGCCCAGGGTGCGCGCACATCTACACGGGCGTGCGCACGTCCACAAGCATAGACGTGGATTTGCAGAAGACCAGAGAGTCGATCCCAAGTTGGGTGGCTCAGGGCAGGGCTACGAAATGAGACTGCCAACCCTGGTGACCCAGTGGGTTAGGCGTTGGGCTGTTCACTGCAAAGTCAGCAGTTTGAGGCCACCGATGGCTCTGGGGAGAGTGTTGAGGTTTCCTGCTCTCGTAAAGACCGACAGCGCCACAGGGCCCATTCTAACCTGTCTCCTGGGGTCACTGTGAGCCAGAATCCACTTGATGCCAGCGAGTTCAGGTTTGGAGTCCTCTGGCCCCGCGGGGCACAGCTCCCCCCCCACCCCCACCTCCGGGCAGGCTCCACGAGTGGCCAGGCGCTGCACCTGGGGTAAAACAGCTCTGAGCCTGGCCTTCGTCCCCAGCCCTGTTCTGCGACTACTACAACCCCCACGGGGAATGCACGTGGCACTACCAGCCCTGCGGGGCGCCCTGCATGCGGACCTGCCGGAACCCCAGTGGGCGCTGCCTCCTAGACATGCCGGGCCTGGAAGGTAAGGGGCAGTCACTCCCTTAAGACTGTCCAGACTCCGGGATCCCGAAGCCAGTCTGCTCAGGGTAGTGCGGGGCGTCCCTGTGATTTCTCCCCACCCCCCGCCCCAGGGCAAGGGAGGAGAGATACTGCAGGCAGGTAGGGGCAGCACCCCTCCCTCCACCC